AATTCTCAGAAGTTGACTTGTAATGAGAGAAATAATAAACATCAGTAAAATATCCCCAGGTTTTTATGGGATTATTTTTCAGAAAACATATAATCGGTAGGTGAATAACTGAAAACCTCAGGTTCCCATATCAAACTAAATGAATATTTTATCACTTCTCTTCTTAAACGTTTGCTCTGGTTTAATGATATTAAGCTATATGTGTATTTGCTTGTATTTGAAAGGTTAGCATCCTTTTCATGTGCAAAATTTTGTCATGACTCATATTAAACAGAGTCAACTTTGATACTTTGTATTTTATACTGAATGATGGAACTACCGACAATATAATGCGCTCTTACTCCTTGGATGCCAACTTTTACTTTAAATCAGTCTTCTTAAAACACTCATAATTCTTCTTAATTATTTGCAGAGTTAGCCCCTTTCTAGTTGCTCCCCACCATTTCCAAAATACACCCAGATAGGTATGAGAAATTCCAATCATTCTCAATGCTTATATATAAGCAATGTGCATCAAAAAGTATTTCAAGATTATTTCCAATATCATGTCAGTAATAAGGTTTGGCCTAATATTTTCCATTTGTTCCTTTATTGTGTCTGTCATGCACAGCCCGTGTGATAAGCAATTACAGAAGATCCTTTATGAAATTGCATTATGCTGTGCTGTGTTCTGTGTTATGTGTAACCCAAGGCGTTTATCTTTACAACATTGAGTCAATTAAAAGAATATGGAATAGTTAGAGGATAATAAGAGCAAGTAATTCAACAATTTGACATTTAACTCTTAGGATGGATTTCCAAGGTTATACCAAATACAAAGTGTTTTCTGTCCTTTTTGTCTTTGTGCTTAGAAATCTGATCAAACAAACTGGAGAGAAGGCAACACATAGTTTATTTTGCTATGAGCAACTTTCACAGCGAATCAAGAATTCATTCAAAATACATCTGGTATGAGGTTTTGCTTTTAACAGTAAGAATGGCAACAGCTAACCTCATCACACAGGTGAGGACAAAGAGATTGTATCTTTTAGAGTGGTACACATTTTTTAATTTCAATGTAGGTTAACAGATGTACGAAAAAATTTTGGAATTTCTCCAACAAAAAAGCCTTCACTCACCTACACCTTGGATTATGATTTTCAAATGTTAAATAAATAAACAAATATGGTGAGCTCTTCTCATTTGTTTTCCTTTGGTAGAGAATAACAGGGCAAAAATGAAGTATATCCTAATATAGAATTTATAGTGTGACATACAAAATGTGAGAGTACATATTCTTCACTTTGCTTGTTTGATCTAAATTTTACATAGATATATGGACAAGACCCCATCCATTTTTTGACTACAATTTATTGCACTTGAAATAAAAATAGTAATCTTAAGATTCACCTATTTACAGAATCCCTGTAGTCAAATATTATTGAGGATAGTTGAGCTGTTACTATGTTGTAATGTCAGACAACAGTGACAGTGAATCTGCAAAAGAAAAAAGTATTCTGAGAACCACTGATTCCAGAGCAGGTGAAGGTAAGGGTGTATTTCAAAACAGAACGCAAAAGAATCTATGCACAGAAGCTATATTTCAAAGCATAGATTTTTCAACACTCTGCCAATAATTAATAATCATAGCATTTAGAGTTTTAAAACTATGTTTCTACAAATTATATGCATACAGTAAAACTATTAATCAATTGGTAGATGTCTAATCTATGCTAAGAGTAATCGGAATGTTGAGAAAGTAACTTTCACCAGATATAATACTAAGGCAACATTATTTCCTAAACTGCATTTGGGGAGTTCTTTCTTGAATACTAGATAAAAACAAGCAGTTCCATGCCTTTTCAGACAATCCTTAGATTAAATACAAATAGTATTAATCCAAAGATTACGGTAAGTTTCAAACATAATGTCAAGTTATTTTGTTCAGTCCTTTGTAATAGTCAAAACTCTTACCATTTGACCTAAAGTGAAATATTCCCTCTATGAGCCAGGCTTGTACTCTGGGAAAGAGATGAATCCTTGTCTTTCCATGTCTTATTCAGCTCATATTTGGTATTTCTGAACACTCTAGAAGGAAGTAAATATTGAAGAGAATAAAGAGATAAGAGAAGAGGCAAGAAAGTTCTTACTTGACTGTTACTGTCAGCAACCGACCCTAAACTTTGTAGACATGGCTTTAAAGCTTCCTTTCTCTTATAGGGGACTTTTATGGTGTAGCAATAATATTTTCCATGTAGCAAATCATGTCAATACTGACTACCTTAAAACAGCAGCTCTGTGTTATATTCCATGAGTCAACAGGTCAGCTGTGTAATTCTGCTGACTGGACCAGGCTGGGTTCTGTCAAAAGTCAGATGATGGCTCCATTGGGCCGAATAGTCTCAGAAACACTTACGTGTTTAGAGGTGGGTTGACTGTTATCAGAGACAACATGTTTGATTGGGCCATGTGTCTTACCTTTCAATAGTGTAGCTTCTCCCTATGACAAAGTACAAAAAGCATAAAAGAGAGGGTAAGCCCCAGCACAAAAGTGCTATTCAAATCACTGCTAATGACGTTTGTTTTTCTCCCACTGGCAAAAACAGATCACATAACCAAGTCTGAGTCAGCATGAGAAGGGGTTACCCAAGGGTGTGGATGCAGGAATGTGGAGGATATTCCGAGATTTCACTGCAACATGTACCATCTATGATCTCTTCAGAGACACTGTCCCTTATCTTGAGGCACGTGGCATATTTCCTCTGTCTTAAGGGGTCCACTGCTATCCTTGGTTTCTCTTTGCTGAAGTTTCCAGACTACGGGAAGCCTTGTTGGACATGATCCAAGATAGATTAAGACCATCTGTCTTAATGTATCTTTTATAGAGACCACCTATAGCTGGTGTCTATAAAATATCTGTATCCTTTGTCCAGTCAAACTCTGAGAAATATAGCTACAGCCTAATTTAGTCAACTAGTTGCTTCTACATGTGGAAGAACTAGCTACCCCACCTTCCCCATTTGATTTACCAGCACAACAAAGACAGGTCCATTGTATTATCCCAGCTTCACAGTGTATCAAACTCTCTACATAGCCCTGATGAAGCCAGTCCTACTAAGCTTGAGACAAGGGTCAGGAACCCACATCTCTTTGCACTTGGGAATGTTTGGACTCATAGTTCACCAAAAGTTCTCTCTAAAATATATCTTTCAAATCTCTCTTAATTACCAATGATATAATTCATTAACAACCTGAATCTAGGTGAGAATTAGTAATTGCGTAATCAAATTTTTCATTTCAAAATATTCATCTTAATATTTGGAGTTTCAGTTTGGAGTTTCATAAATATCATATCTATAGCCTCTTGGGTCCTCAGTTACAAATGCCAAATTAACATCTTTAATGTGGAAAGTGACAACATTGGGGAAACAATTAGGCATTGTAACTCCGAGTAAAAAAGAATGATAAAGTAAATTATAATAAAATTGTTTCTAATTTTGTACTTATCGGTTTAATTTCACCATTAGGCTGGGAAGATCATCTTGAAGATCATACTGCATTATCTCTTTCTCCCAGATCTGCAACAATTAAAAATCTGGTGATGGTGCTCCTTATACCTTTATCTAGGTATGTGGTAGAACTATTAAAAGAGTAGAGAACCAAAATCAAAGTCGCTAGTCTTGCCATGAATGAGTATCCCCACTGTTGAAATAAAGCCATTCATAATTTAAGTAAACATTCTAGATCATTAGTATAGCAGTTGCTAAAAGGAAAAAAATCACATGAAAACATCAAAGAAATGGATTGAGTTATTTTCTTCCAATTATTTGGTCAATTTTAGAGTAAGTGTAATGTGGTGATGAGAAGGAGGTATATTCTGTGGATTTGGGGTGGAGAGTTCTGTAAATGTCCACTTGGTCTAGATCTGACTTCAAGTCCTGGATATCCTTGTTAATTTTCTGTCTCACTGATCTGTCTAATATTGAAAGTGGAGTGTTAAAGTCTCCCATTATTACTGTGTAGGAATCTAAGTCTCTTCGTAGGTCATTAAGAACTTGTTTTACGTATCTGGGTGCTCCTGTATTGGGTGCGTATATATTTAGGAGAGTTAGCTCTTCTTGTTGTATTGACCCCTTTACCATTATGTAATATCCTTCTTTGTCTTTTGATCTTTGTTGGTTTAACATCTATTTTATCAAAGACTAGAATTGCAACCCCTGCTTTTTTTTTAGCTCTCCATTTGCTTGGTAAATCTGCTCCATCCCTTTATTTTGAGCCTGTGCTTGCCTTTGTATGTGAGATGGATCTCCTGAATACAGCACACTAATGGGTCTTGACTCTATATCTAATTTGCCAGTCTCTGTCTTTTGATAGGGGCATTTAGTCCATTTACATTTAAGGTTAGTATTGTTATGTGTGAATTTGATTCTGCCATTTTGATGCTAGCTGGATGTTTCGCCCATTAGTTGATGCAGTTTCTTCATTGTGTCAATAGTCTTTATCATTTGATATGTTTGCAGTCACTGATACTGGTTGTTCCTTTCTATCTTTAGTGCTTCCTTCAGGAGGTCTTGTAAGGCAGGTGGTGATGAAATCTCTCAGCAATTGGTTGTAAAGGATTTTATTTCTCCTTCACTTATGAAGTTTCGTTTGGCTGGATATGAGATTTTGGGTGGAAAATTCTTTTCTTTAAGGATGTTGAATATTGGCCCCCACTCTCTTCTGGCTTGTAGGGTTTCTGCTGAGAGATCTGCTGTGAGTCTGATTGGCTTCCCTTTGTGGGTAACCCAACCTTTCTCTCTGGCTGCTCTTAGCATTTTTTTCCTTCATTTCAACCCTGGTGAATCTGACGGTTATGTGATTGGGGTTGCTCTTCTTGAGGAATATCTTTGTGATGTTCTCTGTATTTCCTGAATTTGAATGTTGGCCTGCCTTGCAAGGTTGGGGAAGTTCTGGAAAATATCCTGAAGAGTGTTTGCCAACTTGATTTCATTCTTCCTATCACATTCAGGTACACAGATAAAAATATGGAATGCTTCACAATTTTGCATGTCATCCTTGTGCAGGGGCCATGCTAATCTTCTTTGTATACTTCCAACTTTAGTATATGTGCTGTCAAGTCAAGTTATTAATGTAAAGCACCGGATTTGACACATGGTAAGCATGCCACAAATATTAGCATTCATACAATTATGATAACAAATGCCCAATAATGTTTCCAAGGATCCTTAAATCAACAATTGCTGAAGTTAGGTTTAAATCTCTCGTGTGTTCTTTCATCTATATATCTAAGCCCTTCATCCCACAGAACACTCAACCAACATTTAACCACATGGATTCTTTTTATTTAATTTTTAATTTTTTTATGCTTTAAACTCTGGGGTACATGTGTAAAACGTGCAGGTTTGTTACATAGGTATTCACATGTCATGTTGTTTTGCTATACCCCATCAACCCATCATCTATGTTAGGCATTTATTCTTACAGTTCTTCATTTTTCTTGAAATAATTATTTTAAAAATTACTTCTCCATGACATATTTGTTATACTGGGGATAGAGTAAGTGTTTAGGAGACTAGCAAGATAACTATTCCTAGCTTTTTGGATGACACAAAGTTGCCACTATTAGAGCTTCTTAGACCCTCCCAAATCCCACACCAGATTTCACACACACTTTAATTTCTATAATTTACTTATTTCTCTCCCATTTTTTCTATTCTTCTTACATTTTGAGAAGACACATTGTAATTATTTGCTTAGGACCACCTCTTTCATCCTAGGACAGACTTTCTAGATTTCTTCCTTCCCTTTATGCAGCAGGAAGCTCTTTATAGGGAGCTGAAGATTCTCAGTAGACACTCATGTGGCTTAACCATAGGAATCCTGTGACTCTTATATTTGTTTCTGTCTTACCACTCAACCAAAAAGTGATTTATTTCTATCTCCTTACTTTTATCTTCCCACAGCAGACACTGATTCACAAAACTCTTCAAACACCAGAGTATCTGTTTCACTAAGTCTTCTTTCAGGAAAGTGTTCTGGCATTTTTTTTTTTTTTTTTTTTCTGATTCCTCCCACCTTCTCCACTTAGAATGCAGTTAATTGGTTTCACTCATTTTGATGTTCTTTCTTTCTGAGAAATCTAGAAACTATGTAATATTTCTTCTGGTTGAGTCACTGTTCTCTTTCCTTGCTTTGAATATACCCTTCAGTTGGCACCTGAGCACTCATATATAGTTTTCTTTTATTAGCATTCACACTATTGTCTCCAACTAGAATGAGAGTAAGACTTGCTTTTGCTTACTGTGGTAACTGAAACCTAAAAAGTGTTGGGTACATAGTAAGCTAAAAAGCGATGGAGACATAAATTGATGGGTACATAGTAAGCTCTTTATGAATAATTAAATCAAATGTAAATTAATGAATAGATTCTTTTTCTACTTGAATGTCTGTGTACCATGATATTACAAATCATTTTAATTGAAATGGTTAACCTACTAATCATCCTAAGAAGCCATTCCATATACAACACTTCTATTATCAAAACATAAATTTTATTCATCACTTAAACAGAGTCCACACATTCTGGCCTGTGTCCAGTTATTTGTATCATTTATTGAATTCATGCAATATAAAAGTATTGTGGAGTTCAGATACATCCTACTCTTCTTCCAGTCAAGTGAGAAACACTATGAAAGAACATAGTAGTAATAGTCATGGTAGGAAAACATTATACCAAAAGAGAAATATAAAAATAAACTTTGGTAATGTTTAAGTAGTTACCATAACTAACTACTACCTGGGGAAGGATTCAGGGAAAGTAAAATGAAAAAGAATTCTTTCTTTCTCATTTCTTTTTTTCCTTCCTTTCTTTCTTTCTTCCTTCCTTCCTCTTTCTTTTTCTTTCTTTTCTTCTTTCTTTCTCTTTCTCTCTCTCTCTTCCCATTTTCCTTTCTTTTTCTTTCTTTCTTGCAAAGTCTGCTGAAAAGGAGAAGATAATCTAGGTAGACCTAAATAGTAGATATAGAAAACAGAAACAAGAATAACAACAAATTGTCCAGGTTCAGATTGAAATATAATCAGGGCACACTTCAAATTCTATTCAATTTTCCCTTGTTCTCTATATGTTTTTGCATCTACATTACAGTTGAAATCCTTTCTTGACTATGAGTCACTTTAATCTTAATCTTTCCTAAATTATATTTCAACATCCTTATGTCTCATGGAAAAGAGACACTCAATAAATTATTATTGCTAATGATATATTATAAAGTCATTGAAAATGAGCAAACAGTAGTGAAGCCTCCTGAATCCTGAAAGCAAATATTAAAAGTAGATCAACAATGATTTGGACTCTGTTGAGATTAAAAAGATAGGTGGAGGAAAAGAAGCAGAGGTCAATAGCTTGAAGTCTTTTCTGAACCATTGGTTTCTTGCTGAGCACCTAGAAAATGACCAGGTCAATGCTCATGCTGTGGTCTGAAAATTTGTGTCTCCCCAAGTTTTATATGTCAATATCTAATCTCCAATGTGTTGATAACAAGAAGTAGAGAAGTGGTACTTTTGGTAGGGAGTAGGCCATGAGGGAATATTGCCCTTTTAAATGAGGCTTTAACGGACCTTATTTGCAGCTTCTACCAAGTGAGATCACAGAAGGCACTAACTAAGAGGAATGGGCTCACCAGTCATCAAATCTGCTGGTGCCTTGATCTTGTACTTCTCTGCCTCCAGATATGTGAGAAATAAATTTCTGTTGTCTGTAGATTACCAACTGTAAAATGTTCATTATAGCGGTTCAAATAAGACATCCCATGTGACAATCATCAGCCTTTTTATAATTAATAATTTACCGTTCATAGTCATGAGTTTATTCCCCAAGATTTCAGTTTTAATTGTTTTCTGAGATCATCTTTTTCTATGGGCATTTTCTATAACACACATGTTCGTTAGATGGTAATTGTGCTATGTTCTCTGGTTACAAGGATTTATGAAGCATGCTGTTAGCACTCAAGGAATTTACACACTAGTGTTAAGAATAGGTGAATGTCTAATTTGAATAATCTGATATAAGTATAGTGAAAGAAAAGAAGACAGATGAGAACATTTAGTATGCACCAGTTTGAAGCATGGCTAAGAAAAACAAAAATCACAGGAGAATTCTTAGAAACAATAAATCTCAATACCTGAAATGAGACTACAATGTTAGATAAGAGTCAGTCAAGTGAAGATGACAAATACAGGCATCACAGGCAAAGTAACCAAATTGGGGATTTTTACCTCTTTTATTCACATACAATTCCAATAATAAAACCAGTGCCTGCTACATTGTAGGTAAGCCATCAATATATGTTGAATGAGTATCAATATGTGAATAAGTGAATAAATAAATATCTTCCTATAAACCAAAAATGAGCAGGGTGGAGAGTTGTGGGAATCATAACTCCTTTAGTACCACTGGAATGTTAGAAATCAGATGAAGAGTGGTTGGAGCTGATGCTGGAAAGGGAGGCAGGACCAATTATAGAGGGCTGCAGGGACAACTGACAAGGAGCTGGACAGGGATTGTGAGAAGAATTGTCTACTGAGGTTTTGTTATGATAGATCACTTGAGGATGGGTTGGAAGGATGGATTGAAGGAATGAGACACAAGATAGCAACACCCACTGCGAGGCCACATCAAGGGTACAAGTTATGCAGTGATGTGTATCTCAAATGGAACACTGGAAAGAGGGAGAGGAGCAGATAGGTGACTATTTTTTTAATATTATTTTATTTTATTTTATTATTAAGTTCTGAGATACCTGTGCAGAACGTCAGGATTGTTACATAGATACACATGTGCCATGGTGGTTTGCCACATCCATCAACCCGTCATCTACATTAGATATTTCTCCTAACGCTATCCCTCCTCCAGCCCTCCACACGGGGACAGGCTCCAGTGTGTGATGTTCTCCTCCCTGTGTCCATGTGTTCTTATTGTTCAAATCACACTAATAAGATGGAACATGTAGTGTTTGGTTTTCTGTTCTTGTGTTCGTTTGCTCTGAATGATGGTTTCCAGCTTCATCCATATCCCTTCAAAGGACATGAACTAATCCTTTTTTATGACTGCATAGTATTCCATGGTGTATATATGCTGTATTTTCTTTATCCAGTCTATCATTGGTGGGCATTTGGGTTGGTTCCAAGTGTTTGTTGTAAATAGTGCCACAATAAACACACCTGTGCATATGTCTTTACAGTGGAATGATTTATAATTCTTTGTGTATATACCTAGTAATGGGATTGCTAGGAATTTCTGTTTCTAAATCCTTGAAGAATCACCACACTGTCTTCCACAATGGTTGAACTAATTTACACCTTCACCAACACTGTAAAAGTGTTCATATTTCTCCATATCCTCTCCAGCATATATTGTTCCCTGACTTTTAAATAATCACCATTCTAACTGGTGTAGGATGGTATCTCATTGTGGTTTTGATTTGTATTTCTCTAATGACCAGTGATGATGAACTTTTTTTTATGTTTCTTGGCTGCATAAATGTCTTCTTTTGAGAAGTGTCCATATCCTTTGCCTCTTCACTCTGATGAGAGTTTCTTTTGCTGTGCAGAAGCTCTTTAGTTTAATTAGGTCCCATTTGTCAATTTTGGCTTTTGTTGCCTTTGCTTTTTGTGTTTTAGTCATGAAGTCTTTGCCCATGCCTATGTCCTGAATGGTACTACCTTGGTTTTTTCCTAAGTTTTTTATGGTTTTAGGTCTTACACTTAAGCCTTTAATCCATCTTGAGTTAATTTTTGTATAAGTTGTAAGGAATGGGTTCAGTTTCAGTTTTCTGCATATGGCTAGCCAGTTTTTCCGATATTATTTATTAAATAGGGAATCATTTTCCCATTGCTTGTTTTTGTGAAGTTTGTCAAAAACCAGATGGTTGTAGATGACTGGTGTTATTTCTGAGGCCTCTGTTCTGTTCCATCGGCCTATATGTCTGTTTTGGTGAAAGTACCATGCTGTTCTGGTTACTGTAGTCTTGTATTATAGTTTGAAGTTAGGTAGCATGATACCTCCAGCTTTGTTCTTTTTGCTAAGGATTATCTTGGCTATATGGTCTCTTTATTGGTTGCAT